CTATCTTTTTTTTTCCATTTAAGAACGAAGTCACAATGTGATACCTGGAACCTACAAGTGAGAAAACACAGGACAGATCTAACTCTGTAAATTCTGTATAGCAGGCAGTATGGAGCTGTAGCTCGTGGGTAAAAGCACGGCTGTTGGAATTGGGTAAATTCTGACTTAATTGCATACGTAACAACTTACTGAGTTCTGGTGTTTGTTCACTGGAACTAGTGATAGAATACTCATGCTCCACTGAGTGTTCAAATGAGCTGCTTAGGATTAAGAAGCAGAGAGGACAAGAAACTGGATCCGGCTCTAAATCTCAAGGTCTCTCTCTGGAGATCTATCTCCTCATCAAGGTTCCATCTCCTCAAATTTGCGTCACCTCTCAAATGGTGGCCAAATGTTCAAATACAGAAACCTATGGAAGGCATTTGACTCCTAAGACATAACAACGATTTAACCAACAAGACCAAAAAAGCTCAGAAAGTTCATCCAAGTATAGGGAGGGTAGAGATTAACACATCATAAATATGTTTGCTTTCCTAGCAAAGGGCTTTCTATAAGTATCTTATCTTCTTTGATAATTACCATATAAAGACAAAACATCCAAAGGCTTTCATAGCAAAAAGCCTGTCTGTTCCATACAGGGCATGTCCCTCTGTTTGAGAAAAACACATTGCCTCCAATTAAACACCCTGTGTTTGGAATGATATGATGGGAAGAGCTTCTGAGCCTGTGAATCAGGCAGCTTTACCGCTGTACCTCATGCAGAGCGCAGAACCCATGCCTTCCGAAGGGAGTCAGTCACTCTGCACTGAACTCTGGTGGCAGAGGTGGGCGGGTGAGATGTTCACTGAAGAAAGACACTTGTTGCCAAGTCTGATGACCTGGGTTCACTTCCCAGAACTCATATGGTGGAAATAGAGAACCGAGTACAGTAAGTTATCCTCCGGCATCCACACAGGATGGTCACAGCATGCCTATACCCCCACCCCCAAATAAATTAATATGGGGTTCTCTGTTTGCTTGTTTGTTTGTTTGAGACAAAGTTTCTCTGTGTAACCCTGGCTCTCCTAAGACTGGCTTTATAGACCAGACTGGCCTCGAACTCAGAGCTCCACCTACCTCTGTCTTCCAAGTGCTGGAATTAAAGGTGTGCTGTTGAAGCATATTACTTTAAGGTGTGTTACATCTGTTTATGCTCTGGAACATTTGTTTAACCACGTAAAGAAGTGTTGCTTTTGTTTCTGCTGCATTTGTTTGACTCTGTGAAGCTATGATTCTTTGCCTGTCTAAAACACCTGATGGTCTAATAAAGAGCTGAACGGCAGGAGAAAGGATAGGTGGGGCTGGCAGACAGAGAGAATAAATAGAATTAGTAAATAAATAAAATGTAGAGAAAATAAATAGAATAAATAATTAGAAGAAGAAATCTGGGAGGAGGAGCACAAGAACAAGGGGAACTAGGAGAGAGCAGGATGCTAGGGCCTAGCTACCTAGTCAGAGTAAGAGGGTCAGTAAGATTACAGAAGCAAGAAAAGGAAAAAGCCCAGAGGAAAAAGGTAGTCGGGATAATTGTTTTTTTTTTTTTAATAATTTTTTTTATTAAGAAAAGAAGAAAAAAAACATAAACAAAAAACAAGTTTCCACCTCCTCCCAGCCTCCCATTTCCCTCCCCCTCCTCCCACCCTTCTCCCCCTCCTCCCACCCTTCTCCCCCTCCCCCCACTCCTCTCCCCCTCCCTCTCCAGTCCACAGAGCAGTCCAGGTTCCCTGCCCTGTGGTAAGTCCTAGGTCTTCCCCCCTCCATCCATATCTAGGAAGGTGAACATCCAAACTGGCTAGGCTTCCACAAAGCCAGCACATTAAGTAGGATCAAAACCCCGTGCCATTGTCCTTGGCGTCTCATCAGCCCTCATTGTTCGCCATGTTCAGAGAGTCCAGTTTTATCCCATGCTTTTTCGGTCACAGTCCAGCTGGCCTTGGTGAGCTCCCAGTAGATCAGCTCCACTGTCTCAGTGGGTGGGTGCACGCCTCGTGGTCCCGACTTCTTTGCTCATGTTCTCCCTCCTTCTGCTCCTCATTGGGACCTTGGGAGCTCAGTCCAGTGCTCCAGTGTGGGTCTCTGTCTCTGTCTCCATCCATCACCAGATGAAGGTTCTTAGCCAAGAGGATAACTATATGTTTTTCCTTGGGTTCACCTTCTTTCTTAGCTTCTTTAGGTTCACCTATTGTAGACTCCGTGGCCCTAATTTATGGCTAGAAACCAATTATGAGCGAGTACATCCCATGTTCATCTTTTTGGGTCTGGGACACCTCACTCAGGATAGTGTTTTCTATTTCCATCCATTTGCCTGCAAAATTCGAGAAGTCATTGTTTTTTACCGCAGCGTAGTACTCTAGCGTGTATATATTCCATACTTTCTTCATCCATTCTTCCATTGAAGGGCATCTAGGTTGTTTCCAGGTTCTGGCTATTACAAATAATACTGCTATGAACATAGTTGAACAAATGCTTTTGTCATATGATAGAGCATCTCTTGGGTATATTCCCAGGAGTGGTATTGCTGGGTCCAGGCAAACCTATGAACACCTGATTTTCGATAAAGGAGCTAAAAGTATAAAATGGAAGAAAGAAAGCATCTTCAACAAATGGTGCTGGCACAACTGGATGTCATCTTGTAGAAGAATGAAAATAGACCCTTATCTATCACCGTGCACAAAACTCAAGTCCAAATGGATTAAAGACCTCAATATCAGCCCGAACACACTGAACCTGATAGAAGAGAAAGTGGGAAGTACCCTACAGGAGCTGGGCACAGGAGATCGCTTCCTATGTATAACCCCAGAAGCACAGACATTAAGGGCAACATTGAATAAATGGGACCTACTTAAACTGAGAAGCTTCTGTAAAGCAAAGGACATAGTCAATAAGACACAAAGGCAACCTACTGATTGGGAGAAGATCTTCACCAACCCCACAACAGACAAAGGTCTGATCTCCAAAATATATAAAGAACTCAAGAAACTAGACTTTAAAATGCTAATTAACCCAATTAAAAAATGGGGCACTGAACTGAACAGAGAATTCTCAGCAGAGGAAGTTCAAATGGCCAAAAGACACTTAAAGTCGTGCTCAACTTCCTTAGCAATCAGGGAAATGCAAATCAAAACAACTTTGAGATATCATCTTACACCTGTCAGAATGGCTAAAGTCAAAAACACCAAGGATAACCTTTGCTGGAGAGGCTGTGGAGGAACGGGTACCCTCATCCATTGCTGGTGGGAATGCCATCTTGTGCAACCATTGTGGAAGTCAGTGTTTCGGTTTCTCAGGAAATCCGGAGTCGGGATAATTGTTAAGAAAAGCTATTAAGAAACGAGTCAAATTAAGGCTGGGCATTCATATGAAAGAATAAGAATCTGTGTGTGATTTATCTGGGAGCTCGGTGGTGGGTCCCCAAAAGGGACAACAGAGCAGAGAGTAAAACCAGCAGCAGTGTGCGCCCACATCCAGCCGCAAATGTAAGTTAAATATATATCCAGTTAGAGCTATCACCACTAATCATCACAGCCGGAAGAGGAAAGCTAACCACACGTGATGCAAACAACCGCGGTCTCTAAGCAACTTGGTACATCAAAATCTCCCAGTAGAACTATTTTGATTGAAATGTGCTTTGCTTACTAAATGTTTTAAGAAATAACATTTCTCATTTTCCCTCTACAAATTAGTATATATGACCATAGTGGATTGCTAGATTAATTTCTAATCTTCAATCTTAAGAGGAGAAAAGCCCCTCTAGAAGAAATTGGCAGGGCAGGAAGGTCCAGGGCTGCTTAGTAAGAAATGACGGAGCATTCAGCCATTCAGGTCAAGCTCCTTAGGAATAACCACATGGCGCTAGAGAGCTGGCTGAGTGAATGAGAGCACTGGCTGCTCTTCTAGAAGATCCAGGTTTGCTTCCAGCACCTACATGGTGATTAACCACCATCCATAACTCCAGGCCCACAGGATCCTCTTTGGCCCCCGTGGGCACTGCACACACATGATGCCCAGACACACAAGCAGGCAAAACCACCCACATAACATAAAATAAAAATAAATGTATCTAAAGACCAATACTACTATAACTTTGGGTAAAGTCTGGGTTTTTTGCAGTAGAGCATAATAAAATAAATGAAAGAAAACGATGAACTACATCCATAATTATGTAAACTCACACTCAAATTGTGGTATTTTTAAGTAAAAAAGTATATTTGAGATAAACATCATAAAACCAGAACCTTGTAGTTGCCAAGTTTTACATTGCAAATTTGTTTGTTCATTGATGAAACCGTAAAATAGAAACACCATACTGACAGAAGTTGACGTATAAAAACAAGGAAATGATGGGATCATTTCTGAGAGCCTCACAGAAAGCCTCTAATTCCGAATGTTACTCTCCCGTGATTAGTGGATTAACATGTGGGTTTCCTGGGCTTACCTGAGTACATACATCTACTGTGTCTGGCAGACATCAGCGTAAACATTACTTAGCATAATTAATTACTTAAGCAATTGCTTCAGCTCCTCTAACGCCTCTTAAAAGTGCTTTAATACACATGAAAAGTAAATAATTACATATACTTAAGAATAAAACTTTGCTGCTCAAATATCCAAGTATGTATTTAGTCGTTAACTTAGAAAACACCTGCTTTGTGTGTGAAAGTAGTTCAGAATCTCGGCCCTTGATTAAATGTAGTCTCCAACGCATCCCAGAAACTTCAGAGCCTCAAAACGGACTTGAAAACTCTAACTTAAGGCAGACTGGCTAGTAGATTCTGAAACCTAGCCAGAGCAAAGCATTTGGTATCAAAGACTAAATGCAGAACAGTAACCAATTATTTTTGTACATTCTTTTAACAAATTGGTCCTTCATTCGAAATCGCAAATGTAAGTGATATTAAGAGCATGCAGACACGGTCCCCATACAAATGGAATTTGGAGAAATTTTCACTTAACATAGAGGGGCTACGTTGCTGTTGGATTTCTGCCTGGGTGTAGACTGTGGTCACGCATTGACAAACCAAGCTTTTGGATTCCTTGGCTGTTGATGATACATTGGAAGCATCTGTTTTCCATGTGGATAGTTCTGACAAACTCTAAAGTTTGAGAGGAAAATTAAACACAATAAAACTCTCTCTTGAATTGGATGGTAAAATATACTAATTTGACCATTATATAAATAGAACAAATCTGATTTATCTGTTGGGAAAGTGCTACCTTCAGAACCAGCCAACTCAAATTCAATTCAACTCTGTAGCAAACAATTCATTTTCCCATTAGGCAATCACTGTTCCCTTCAATAAGGCAATTCCCACTCAGCTGTGGCCACTGAGGTCATTTTGAAACACGGTCCCTTTTATACTATGGATAGCAGAAAAAGACCTGATGACCTTAGGAGGCATTTGAAAAAAAAAACAAACTTGCAATAGAGATGCATCTCAAGGGGAGTGTGCACTCTTAGAAGGCGACATCTAGCTAAGGACTCCCCGCTCCTGGCCAGTGACCGAGGAAACTGAAATCTAAATGGGGAAATAAACCTGCAAAGATAAAAATACAAAATTCTGCCATGCTTTTCAGATTCCTTATCCTTACTTTCAGAAAGGGAAGCAATTAGAGAAAACACAGTATTATTATATGTGGAAGAACTGAAAATCATTTGTACTTGCTAAACTCACAGTGTTGACCAATGTTGGCCAATACAGAGGAAGACCAGTGAGTTTATTATGAAAACTGAACTGAAAAATTCACAAAAATATACAGTATTTATTGCCAGTTAAAGCAACCAGTAAGAGCACAATGTAAGACAAAAAGAACTTACTTGATATATGCAGCTTAATAAAAGCATTTTAGGAAGAAAATATGTCATTTTAGTAAAAAAGCTTTCTGTTTTGAACATCATTAGTTGCTAAGCACATGTCCAATGCTGTCAACAAACACCTTCCCAACGACAGGCAGGAGGAGAGCTTTCCTCACGGGGACACCGACTCAATCGACCTTTTTGTCTGAGACGCCCTCTTCATGCTTCTCAGGGCTGACTTTATTACTAGCCCCAGAGTGAGCTGTCTGGACTTCATCTGGCAACGAAAACACATGGCATGTCTGGAGGTCTAAGTACGTTGTAAAGATCTTGGCATATTCTGGGTGCTTTAGGGCAAAACTTTTGAATTCCTCTAGAAGGAAGAAAAAAAATCAATAAATTAGGGTGTTCTTCTTTTGGCATGATGAAACGTAACAAAAGATCTTAACCATACAATGACTGCAGAATACTGTTACTGGACTCAAAAAGCTTCTGATGACATCATAAACTGTACAACCACTCTGCAATAGTCAAGTTATAGACACGTATTTTTAGCGACTCACTAATTCTGTTCTGAGGTACACAACCTATGGAAACTGTGAATTACACCTGGGGACAGGTATGAGAATGTTCCTGCCAATATCATTCATAACAGGGAAGAAAGAAAAGAGTTCAGATGTCTTTCAACAGCAGCAACAAATGAAACTGTGGCATAGTCATGGAGCACAATGACCGCAGTGCAAGCCAGTGGCCAATGATGATGCATTAGGACTATGTGCGCTGAGTGAAAAATGCCAGATACAAAGCTCATTTATAGGATGCCCAAACACGCAGACCAAAGTAAGAAATGTCAACGCTTAGTTTAAAAACTACTTAAATTCTTCAAATATTTTGTAAACTTGGGATGAACATAGTAATAGGGGAAGGGAAAGATGGTGTGTATTCTGAAAAGAAAAAGGTTGAATGATAGAGGAAGGTCATTGGCTAATAAAGGAACTGCCTTGGCCCATTTTATTGGTTAGAAGATAGGTGGGAGGAGTAAAGAGAACAGAACGCTGGGAGGAAGAGAAAGTGAGCTCAGACTCGACAGCTCTCCTCTCGGGAGCAGACGCCTCAGAGAGATGCCATGCTCCTGGCTCCTGGGCAGACGCATGCTATGAAGCTCCGACCCAGGATGGACATAGGCTAGAATCTCCCCGGTAAGCGCACCTTGGGGTGCTACACACAGATGATTAGAAATGGGCTAAATTAATATGTGAGAATTAGCCTAGAAGAGAATGGGCCAAGCAGTGTTTAAAAGAATACAGTGTCCGTGTAATTATTTCGGGGCATAAGCTAGCCGAGCAGGCAGCTGGGGTGCTGGGGACGCAGCCCCGCCGCCCTTATTACTACAGTTGAACTGAAAAACAAAACTAAACTCTAGCCACTGGTAGATCACCAGACAGCCCATGGCCCAGGGGACGGTCTCACACCCATGTGCGTTTGTGCAGTGCTAATTGGGCTCAGTGGTTAGTCGTAAAAAAAAAGGAAGCAATGTTGGAAGGGAGATGCACTGAGAGGGCCTGGAGGGAGTTGAAGAAAGAGACCATGAGAGGTGAATATGCTAAAAATTATCTCTATCTCTATCTACATATATATGTGTATATATAAATTTTCAAATAAATATATTGTTTATGATCAGAATATATTATATTAAAATTTTTAATTAAAAAAAGAAAAAAATCTTCTGGGACTGGTGACACGTCTCATCAGTCAAGAGCACTTGTTCCTGCAGAGGGCCTAGATTTGACTCCATATGGCAGTTCACAATCGTCCATAACTCTAGGACCAGGAGATCCATTGCCCTGTTCTGACTTCTGTGAGCCCCAGATATGCATATGGTCCACAAACAACAACAACTCCAATACATAAAATAAATAAATCTTTAAAAAAATTACCAAACAATTTAGCATCTAACAGATTATTAAGCTAACCAAAGTATGGCCATCACAAATAATTTTAATATAGTTAAAAATTATTATCTTTCAATGAAACACTTCGTCAAAATTTGGTAGTTCTGGGGGTGGAGAAAAGGCTCAGTGGTTCCCAACCCCCACATGCTAGCTCACAATTGGCTACAACTCCAGTTCCAGGGCATTCGATGCCCTCTTCTGGCCTAATTGGGCACTGCATGCACATGGTGCACGCAAACTCACAGAGGCACAGAAATAAACATATACATAGAAAAATAAGCTTTAAAAACTGGTATTTTTAGAGAGTATCATGGAAGCAAATGACCAAAGAAAATTTAGTTTACATGAGTTTTTGAAGGTTTTTTTTTTATGACCTCAACAGATTCATAGCCCTCTATATGTAATTATCTCAAAGAGAATATGGGGCAGACAAAAGGCCAGTAACTAAACACAGAGTAAGAGAAGTATCTGACCTGAGTTCCCCATCCCGTAAGCATGAATAAGCTGAACCTCTGGGAACACCATCAGGGCAATGTAATTAGGTAGTTAGTGTCCCTCCAGCCGGAGGCGAAAGCTTGGGGAAGATAAGCTGGCCTGGCATCCAGGACCACATCAAAGCTAAGCAGGAAACAATCACCTAGGCCTCCACGTTTCTGAAAGACCACACTGGGGAATAGAGGGAAAGAGATCTACCACCATTGTTTTGATGTACGGTTCTGAGCCATCAGGATGAAGGAGAAGCCAGCACACGGTTCTGTATCTACACCACAGTACCACAGACCTTCTTCTGTCATGGCCACTCCCTCATGGGGGTTGCTCTAAGATGGCAAAGACAAAGGCTGCCCATATAAACTACTACACAGACCTTCATAAGTCATTTAGCTACTACTGTCGTGGTGCCTTGGGCCATACCCCTCCCCTGCAGTTACAGCCCAGCTTGACTAGCTCACTCAGGGCAGCCACACTCAGTGCAGATAGGAAAGGCACTGAGGTATCGTCAATGGTACAGGCTCTAACGCCAGGCTCTTAATTTTTGAACCCTGGCTCTGACAATCTTCAGGTGGACAGTCTTCAGAAAGCTATTTAAATCTTTTGTTCTTCGCCAAACACAGATGTGGAGAAAACAAAAATAAAATAAAAACCAGGACACTGATTAAACAAGTTTATAAACACAAAATATAAAAGAGAACCTGGTGTGCGAGTCTTCAATAATTAGCTGTTATTATCACCACCGTAACAACGCTGTAGCCACCATCGTCATTGCTGTTACCAATAGTCAGCCAAGGAAACCCACTCACCTGACTCTCAATTCAAGGCCCGGATGCTCTCATCATAAATAAGTGGGGGGTGGGATTGCCTACTCACCATAGGAAACAGAGTCCCCGTGGGCAATTTCCCGGAAGAGACCGGAAAAATCAAGGTCAGGCACTCCAAGAGAAGCCTGCAGAATGGTGCAGAACTCCTGCTCTGTTATGTAGCCATCCTCGTCAACGTCAAAGAGCTGCAAGGGAAACAGCACACGGAAGTAGCAAAGTAAAGCCTTTAATAATGGAAATAGTTACTGTACAAGATATATATGCACGTATGCATATATTAATGTATATACATGCAAGAGGGGACAGGGGGAGAATGGTCTCTGTTCCTCTTGTAAGACTTAAATGCCTACAGTAGTTTGGTAGTGGAAAGAGGCAGAACCGGAACTGGGGCCATGCCAATAGTACGTACTAAAAGACATGGGAGCCCTGGAGGGACCTGATGACTCTCACCCAGGGAGGTCCACAAAGGCTGTCATTACAGTTGGTTCTCATAATGTAAAGAGAAGTTCCCAGATGATAAAAGGAATGGCAGGTGAGTCCCTGGGACTTAAGTCCAGAGACTGATGGAGAAGCTAGATCCAGACCATGGTGGATGTATAGGGCCCCACCTAATACCTGCAAAGGGAAGAGGTTCATCACATGTCTTCTGAAGGAGGCCTCTGAAGTAGACATAGTGTGCAAGACAGTATGGGGGCAGGAGCCTTTCCCAAGCAAGAGGACCAAGTGAGGCTAGGGTGGACAAGCAGGACAGGAAGGACAGATTGTACACACAGCACAGACACAGGCTGCAGAAAAGGTTTGTAGTGATGGGAAGGAGCCAAAGAGCCAGAGTTTTCTAGTTGGGTAACTGAGGAAAACAGGTTTAACTACTGCCAAATGAGATAAGAGTTGTGCCTAGAAAAGTTAAATCTGAGTTAGAGGTGCCAGGAGTAAGTAAGAAAGGGGAAAAAAGAATCAGTGATGAACTCAAGGGATTATAAGTTTCCAGGTAGAAATTCGGGTAAGAACTGAACCAGGGGCATGTGCAGCTCGTCTGCAGAGAGGGTATGGAGTGAAGAACCAGCCCTGGGCCAGCCACCATTGAGAGGTGGGCAGAAGAGGAACGGAGGCTTAGAAGGATCAGACAAGTGTGTGCCAACTGACGCTAACAGAGGGTTTAATAGAACAGGACTTGACGGTGGAAACAGACACCAGGCATTAGACAGGTGTGTGTCAACTGAAGCTAACAGAAGGTGTTAGTAGAAGAAGACTTGACAGTGGAAACAGGCACCAGACTACAATGCCATAGGATGACCAAAGAGAGCAAACTATTTGCTAGATTTGGTAAGTCGGAGATGAGAAGCTTCCAGTTTCAGAGAACCAAAGGGGAAGTGGTAATGAGAGTCAAGGGACAAACAAGAGATTGGCGACGGCAGCTGGCATGGGCATTTCTAAGAAGTTACAGAAGAGAGGGCAGCAGAAATGAGATAACACCAGGCACGAGAGGCGATTACATTTATAGGTGGAAAGCAAAGCAGTGGGCTGGGAAGGCCAACAGCCAAGCAGTGGAAGAGGGGTAAATGCTGGATAATCAATAATCAAAACAGAATATTTAATTAGAACCTATTCTTTACAGGCACTGGTCAGAGGTATCCAGTTCCCTTTACACGTATGAATCCTTAATGTTCCCAATACACTATGGCAACAGATGCCAATGTTAGCCCTCTTAGACATGCGGCAGCTGAGGCCCAATGAAGGTAGCAGGTTCTGTCCCAGGGCATGCAACCTGTAGATGGCAGAGCTAGCAAATGCTGTCGTCAGTACGGAAAGGCCCCAGTGCTTGGCATCTATATTTCAGACCAAACGTTAGATCAAAGACATGGAACAATTGCCGTTAGTAAGGTCTGATAATCATGGAAAAACCGTAAGTGGATAATGAACAGTGGGTGAGAGAAAAAAAGCCACAGCTCAAAGAAAAGCCATAGCTCCAATTTGGGATTTGTTACCCCAAAAAGGGAACAGGCTTCTGGCCCATTTCCTGCTATTGAGTTTTTGTTTTTTTGTTTTTGTTTAACTAAGGGTGATGAAGGTGGCTGGAAAGAGATGTGAACTGGCAGGTTTTCATAAGCTGTAGACCACAGGTTCCTAATACATCCTAGACTTCAAACAGTAACTGCCAGGCTCAGCCGCACCTCTACTATTCTACCTGTAGAGTCCAGTGTAAAGAGGAAAGAAAAGATGGGAAGTGAGCTATAATGGGCTTACCACAGAAAAGATGCGACAGGATTCTATACACTATGAAAGTATGTAACTAACTGATAACAAAAAATACGTGAAATATTCTCAAAACAAAACATACCAAAAATCAGCTTCAGATAACCAGTGTGAGCTAGGTGTGGTGGAACCTGTAATCCTAACACTCAAGGGGCTGAGGTAGAAGTATGTCAAGTTTGAGCCAGCCTGGGCTACAGAGTGAGACCTTGTCTCAAAATTTTAAAAAAAAGGTAGATAAATAAATACATAAAGAGACGTAAATTAAAACCAATGTAAAGCATGACCCTTGCCATAGGAAAAAAATGAGCTAATTATAGATGTTAAGTCTTCCTTTCTTCCCTCTTCCATCATCAAACCAAGGTCTAGGCTGGTCAAGGTTTTCATGGTTTCTTTAAAAACAGTCATTACTGTGATGAAGGGCCAGCTTTTCTATTGGGACTTTCATTGGCAAACCAAGAGTGACCATTTGCTCAGCTAAACGTGTAATTACACATACAACTCCAAAACAGAAACGGAGATGTCTGGATTGGAATAAGTTAGCTCTATGTGTCATTTCAGGTTTTTGATGAGTAAGTCTAAAAGCTGAAGGTTTGACATTTTGGGAAAGTATCTGGCCCCTGCATCATGCTCATCACCAGTCACCCGGGGTTCTTTACATCCAGTTCGCTCAGTTTAAAACAATCTGCAATGGAAAGTGTCCTCAGGGGTACATCCAATAAGGAGAGAACACCACCCCTGGTGGCCTCTAAAACACACACACACACACACACACACACACACACACACACACACGGAGTCTTGGCCAGATAATAGAGAAGGGGAAAGGCTTGTTGGAACCACAATGAGATCTGTTTCGGAGAAAGCCGGGGAGAGAGGAAGAGGAGGGGATAGGAGAGAAGTCACTGGCTTTCAGGCTACATGGAAGCTGAGACTATCACTGAACAAGACAACGAACTCAGCTTTGCGAGGTCAGTGGGGAGATGAAGGCAGCTGAGCGATGCCCCACGAGCTTAGAACTCAGAGGAAAAGACCACAATGAGACGCTAACAGATGATGGGTCTCCACTCTCGGGACATGCACTTTGGTGTGTACCGGGTGTAAGTGGCAAGTGCAGTCTGGATCTTTCCTCAAGCTTTGCTGGGGATAAGAAAGACTTCTCTCTGTTAATTTAGATCCCTGCACTACGCTGGAAATATGTCGGCTATCACAGTAAGATCAGCAGGGTAGACTGGGACATTTATGGTGATGGTCTGACATCACCACACAATATAAACTCTAACACTTGAATAAACTCCAGCCAACTGAATAATCTAGCAGATGCAAAATAAGGACAGATCAGAACTTTCTAGATGAATTAGGATGTGGGGCAGGGAGTGGTATTTATCTATATCTATATATCTATATCTGTCTTACTTCAGAACTTCAAAAGAGGCCTTAAAAGAAACAACTTTAATTAGCTAAAGCACCCACTCTTCCATCCTGATGCTCACACCTAGGCTGCTTCCACAGCTGTTTAAATGGATGCCTGTGTTTTCTTTAGTCTCAGTGGCAATTGACTTAATCACATTACCCTCCCGAACATGTCACAGCAGATCTATAAACTCGGGAAACAGATTCACCGATTCTTCCAGTAATGGAGTTAGAGTCAACACGTATTTCCAAGGCCAGCCGAGATGTGGTCAGTGGGGTTGGCAGTACCTTAAATGCCACCTGGATGATCTCTTCCGTGTTGGCGGGGTTGCACAGGACAGCCAGGCCGATCACATACTCTCGGAAGTCAATACTGCCGTCATTATTCTGTGAAGATAGCCATCAGTTAGGAAGGTGGTCATCGAATTAGCGCTAATCACACAAGGCGAAGCACAAGCATGCTGTGCAGCACGGCAGCATCATGCGCTGGGACACTTCGAAGAGAAGTTTTCCCGAGAAGGACGGCGAGGGAAGGACCACCCAATGCCAGTTCAGTAGTAACGATAAATAATTACCCCTGAGGCCATGTAAAGTGATACACTAACACTCACTGTGGTTCCTAAGTTTGGAACTGCTTTGATGAGGACCCTTTGGGGAAACAGGGACTAAGACTTTAATCCTTAGTGGAAATAGAGCTTTGAGTCCATGGTGCAAACGGTCCTGCCAAGATGGCCTGCACCAGAGGATTCCCAAAAGGTCCTAGAAGGTTAATAAACAACCTTTCTGTTTATTACCAAAGAAAATGGAAGTGAAAGGAAAAAGGGACACTGAGACATTAATTAAGATGCATTCTTTAGTTTTCTGGCTTACTTTGGAATAAACCAGGAGCTGATATGGCAAACCCAACAACCTCTTGAGGATTTTGAGGGTTTGTGGTTGCAGAAGCACCTGTACTGTGGGGTGAGTGAAAACTAAGCCTAACTAGCAGGATATAGACCAGGAAGGGTGTCATGACCACAACAGAAAGCACAGGATGGGGGGCTCTGACCCAGGCTGGCACACACATCAACTATCAAGAGAATGAGAGCTTACAATAAAGAGAAACTAGAACGAGGCTTGGTGATGCCCAGTACTCAGGAGGCAGAGGCAGGTGGATCTCTGAGTTCGAGGCCAGCGTGTTCCACATAGTGAGTTCCAGGACAGCCAGGGCTACAGGGTGAAACCCTGTCTCAAATAGGGAAGAAAAAGAAGGAGAGGTAGGTTAGAACACAAGGGACAACTCAGGAGGAGAGAACAGACACCAGAGGAAACGAGGCAGAATGAGATGGAGATGAGCAGAAAGATGAAAGAGGGAGAAGGTGAGCAGAATTCTAGAAGAATCCTAGATGTGAGAATCATTTTGGCAGCACAACTCCCAAGTGACGAATCTCCCGATAAACTCCGCACCAGGGACAAAGAGGCCAGAGCAACATTCAATCTCACAGATTAATAAAGGGCGCTCTGCATCATCAAGCATGGATCTTCATCTAGACACAATCAGCAGGAACACTCGAGAGAAGGGGTGTCTGGAAAGCCCTGACGCGGTGGGAGGTTCTCTGAAAGCACATTTTCTAGGGAGGTTTTCCTCCGCCTCTCAAATATCAAAAAGTCAAATCACTTTTTTCCTATTACTTTATCTTACTGCAGGGCGGAAACTAAAAAGAACAATAATCTCATTTCATGTTCCCACCAGAAAAAGCAGAAACAGAAATTTTAAGATTTCCCCCAAGTATTAGGGTTTATTTCTAAGACAAAGGCTGAAGTCATTCATCTTCTCCATTTGCCAAGAAACCACCTTGAGAATAACTAGACTTAAAAATTGATTTTACTGCTGTATAAGTTACATCCAGCTGGATGCACCTACATGAAGTGTCTAACCGATATCACATACTCCAGGTAGTCACTGCCACAGTGAACATCTGGACGCCATCACCACGGAAGTGTCAAAGAAGACAGTGTATGAAGGAGCACAATATACTTCTTGTGCCGTCATCACTCAATTCTCCACGCACTGTACACAATGTTTTTGGAGAGTCTTAGACACAGAGGAGCTCATCTGGACCACGGCAAAATTGCCCAACATAGATAAGCTTCCTACACAGTTGACTTTCCCTGAGCAAGAATGGCATCATGAACGACCAGTCTTCACTACACCACTGGCCCTGTGAGGAACGCAGGTCAAGCACCACGGCTCTTCTTGCAGAAACAAAAACATAACAGACCCTTCCTATGACCACTAGGAACAAGACAAATTCACACTAGTATATGGCAGCTAAGCAGTCTTTAGTAGTCACATTTTTTGATTGATATGTTTCATAATATGGTAGACCCTTGACTCACATGAGAAAGAATATGCAGTTTTTCTTTCCAGTAATGTGAAGGTGGAGGAAAAACCAGCATGGAAATTACTTGGAGAGATTGTTTTATTGGATTAATAACATACTACTGAGGCTTTAAATCAGTATAATAAACTTCAGAACTGGAGGAAATTGTAGAAACCACCAATGAAGTTGACACGTGTTTCATTTCAAGTTAATAAAACTCACTATTTCTATAACTGCAATTAAATTTAAATTTAATTTGATCATCAACCATTCAAACTTAAGAGTTTGACAAAGTACATTTTTAAATGGACAAAACATTATATAACAACATGCATTCTTTGAACTTTCATATTTTTGAATCAGTTTTGTGATTTTTTTTTTAAATTGTTCCATAAATCTATGGCGGTTTCCTTCAAACTTCCCCAGGAAGAATTATAAACTTAATAATAGCACCTGGTCTTAAAATGTATTTCATAACTACATGTAAATGAAGAAATAAACCTTTCCATGGAAGGTCCTAGTCATTTCTTCACATCTTTTGCCAAGCAGAGCTGAGGAATAGCCAGAGAGCTACCCTGAATCACTGCAAAAAGAAGCATGGCCAAGCTTCAGTGAGCCCTAGCTGTGGATTTTGTCCCTTTCCTGGAAGTCAGCAGCATCAGAAAAGAGTATGGGAGGAGTCATAGTGAGTCTAGTCACCCAGCACCTTTGACCTGCTGCCCTGGCTTCTAGGAGCAATGGGAAGTCCAAGTAAGTCATCTTTATATTAACTGTTGAAATCTCAGGAGGAGGCCCAGGAAGACCACTCTGCAGTTAGTATGGAATATCCCTACTCACTGTGTGAATAAAGAAGCTGACTATTCAAGAGCTGAACAGAATAAGGTTAGACGGGAGAGCCAAACTGAGAATGCTGGGAAGGAGAAGGAGGAGCCACAAGCACACATAGAAAGAAGCAAGATGAACATGCCATACCGAGGAAAGGTACCTAGACATATAGCAAAGTACAGATAAGAAATATGGATTAATTAACATGTAAGAGTTAACTAGTAACAAGCCTGAGCTATTGATGGAGCATTTGTAATTAATATTAAGTCTCCACGTGGGAAAGAAACATCCACCAACATTTCAGAACACTGGCTGCTCTTCCAGAGAACCCTGGTTCAATTCCCAGCACCTATATGGCAGCTAACAACCATTTGTTAACTTCAGTCTATGGGGGATCTGATGCCCTCTTCTGGCCTCTTCAGGTATTGCACACACATGGTACACAGCAAAACATCCACACACATAAAAATAAATTAAAAAAAAAATCTCAGGAGGAATAAATGGCCTGATTCTCAGGCATCAGTTTTCTGAGGCTGTTCTACAACTTAATGTATTTTGTCATTTAGAATCAGATTTTTTTTTAAGGATATGATTTTGAATCCATCTTACAAGGGGTTACATCCCAAGGACAGTTTTTCTTTTTCCCTTTGTTACGTTACAATTAATATAATCTTTGAGAATGAGAAATAACCAATGCTCTTAGAGTAACAGTCAAAACATCCCCATAAAATATAATCTACTGGTCTGCCTTAAGTCTCCACCTGTGATGACACATTATTCCCTGAGGAACTCTATTATTAGGACACTGTTTGTCTTACTTATCAAAACAGCCAAGGAAAGCTGTTCCAATCACTTGGGTATTCCAACTGAGAGTATATTTCTACCACATATATAATAACACTACCAATTTTACTGTACTTAAACTACCTTAATATACTTAGCATTATGTGAGCACTTTCAAACAGTAATTCTGCCATTCTTCAAGATCAATTCACATTCAGTACAGGGTCGTTATGGGCATAAAGCTTTAAAACTAAAACATATTCCTAAAGTGACCTTCAAGATGACATACACATCATGAATGTTTTTTTGGAAATTTCTTGCTTTTGGATACATAGCACACATGCTTTCAAAGTTATATGCAGTTTTTTTGACATGTATGTTTACAGTACAATTTTATACATGCTTCTCACTATCATTCTCAGCTTACTGCTTTGATAGTATTCTTTAATGTTAGACTCTCGCTGACAATGGAGTCGATGAATCAAAAGCCTTCGTCACAGGCCATAAGCAGTTTTCCATACAGAAATGGGTAAGTTATGTATGGGAGTTATAGGAGCTGAGACAGGGTCTCATGTAACCAAGGCTGGTCTCAAACTCATTAATCACATAGTCAAGGCTTGACTTGAACTCCTGACCCCAGCCTTTGTCCCAAGTGTGAAGAGCATAGACAGACATGTGACTCCAAGACAGCAACACAGCACATTTTTTAAAGCTGCAAATTAATACTTTCTCTCACCTTGAAAGTGAAGTTGTAAACGTTAGTTATTGAATGAAAACTGAGAAATTCGGTCACTGTTCGAGCTCTTGTTTCATTGCAACAGACAAAGATTTGCCTGCTTAGGACAATCTTGAGGGTGGACTGAGTCTTCTAGTGTTCACAACAGTGAATGGGGTTAGTAGGATAAATTTTATATGAACATAGAAGATGGCAGAAGAGAAACTTAGGCGGCTTCTGGATGTATTTCACACACATTAGAGGAGAATCATGAAATAGGTATTCCCTGAGCTGGAAATGGAGGGAAATACTTAACGCCACTTCTATCATGCGATGACAGCCTTAACTTTTATAAGGCAGTTATGATGAAATCTGGAGTGAAAATACAAGGTCTGCCTTGTCCCTTCTACAACCACAGTGTGGAAATCAAATCAGAAACACAGTCCAAGTCCTGATAGACATCTTGGCAGCTTTCTCCCTTTCCTGGCTACTCTCCCGCTCCCATGTCCGATGTATTAGTGGATTGATTCTACAATAGTGAGGTTGGTAGGAACGTGAGGTTGCTGGCAGCAGTAGTCTCATGCTTATACACCCAGAGCTGGTCTAAGCAGACTATCAGACCAAGTTAAATTACAAGTTCCTTCAAGAAAGTAGATATGATCTCTGTGCTTGGCTCAGTTCAGAACTGCATGTGTGGTAGT